TCGAGCGCTGTCCATTAGCTGCGCCTCCTCGAGAGGTCTTCTCAGGTTTCGACTGTTGTCGGAGGTTTTCGGATATATTCGGAAAACTCCTGATGTGTTTGGCTGTTTTTCGAAGGTGTTTGTATATGCTTATACTTTTATCGTACACCTCTTATTCTTACCGTGTACCTATTTTCGGTGTTTTCGAAGACTCTTACTTTTACTCTTACTCATATTCTTACCGTACACCTCATATTCAATTATCTTTTCTCTGCGCGCCTGCCCTCAGAGCTTCAACGATGACCGGTGCGCATTCGCGGGAGCCGGGAACGCCAATGGGAGGCGAGAGGAACGTTCAACGTCGCCTCTTTAGTCGCCTGCACGAGATGGACGACGATGCGCCGGGAGTGCAGGTGCACAACATCGCAACGCCCAACACCCTTCCGGAGGCACGCCCACCAGCGTTCCACGATATCGCAAACCTTCTTAGGCAGGAGCTTCAACTTTACGCAGTGCGATCGTCAGACTTGCGAACCGCCTCGACACGAAGATGGCGGCCGTGGGGGAACGGATGGAGAACGTGGAGGTTCGCATCACGAACTTGGAGAACCTCGAGGCCCCCAATGCCCAGCCCAATGTCAACACTGAGGTCATGGACCACATCAAAGCGCTGGAGATTGAGATCGCTGAGTTGAGGAGCGCCGCTGGCTCCATCGGCGCCAGCTCCAGGGACACGTACAGTGAGACGGACAACGTCGTGGTGATCGGGGGACTGTCGTCGCTCGCGGATTCCGAAGAGGCGAAGGAGTGGCTCGCAGACAAGTTGTGGCATTTCTACGCCCCGCAGCCCGGCGAGATCGACGTCAAAGGGGATTTTCACTGGGCTCTCTTCGTAAAGCTTCGCGACAAAATCACCAGCGATTCGATTGTTAAGGCGTTCCGAGCATCCCGTTTCAAGGAGGGCGGGACCACAACTTGGGCGAAAACCGACACGGCTTTGGCGGAACGGGTCATCACTTCGTTCGTATTCGGGACGACATTTATCTTGAAGGGCTGGGGGTACACCACTGAGTGCATCTGGGCGGACCCTGAAGAGGGCAAAATGTGGGCAGGGAGCGAGGTGGCCGTTCAAGCGGTTATTGAACAGAGCAGTCTGAATTTTCGCTGCGGTATTGGCTGGGGGGACTGGCTGCGTGGATGCGGTTTCCCACAACTTCTGGACATGGTCAAGGATCTTTCGGACAAGCTGAGCCGCGTCCCTTCCGAATGCGCCGGGGGAAATGGCGGCGAAACCACAGCCGAAAGGAAGGGGGCGCGCCCGCGTTAAGGGTGCCAGCGACGAGCGAGCAGGAATGTTTCACATGGGGGCCCTGGAGGCAACGAACCCCTTGCTGAAGGCCTCCGGGAAACTCAGAAACCGTTCCCAGTCATGGGAACACATGGCGAAGCCATGCTGTCCTTGGCTGCTGCGCGGGGTGGCCGCTTGCGCCCTGCGTCGCGAGATGTTGCTTTTGCATCGTAGAGCATCGAGGGTTACACCGAAGCCAAGTACATCATACTGTTGAACATCATGGCCGATCGAGGTATCATGGTCCTTCGCGCGCAGGAGACCTTGGCGCCGAGGTCGGGCGCTTTCGTCACCGACTCCAGCTTCCCCGTTGCGAAGTCAGGCGAGCTGGGGGGCAGCGCGGACAAGACATGCGTGGGTTTCATAGTGGCGCCGCTGGCGCGTGCTTCGATCGTGGGTTTCTGTCAGGCGACCGCCCGCATGGCATCGCTCAAGCTGCGGACCTCTGCCGGTAAAATGGCTCAGTTCTCAGCTTGCGCTCCGCGCGGCGGCGAGTGTTTCAGCGACAGGCCAGATGTCGTCGCGATCTGGCAGAGCTCGTACATTCACGTTCGGTACATGGTCCTAAATTCGTAATTGGTGACTTTAACGCCGAACTCCTCGGACGGATGGGCGATGGCGAACACATTCCGGGTGCGCAAATTTCCGCGCGTCTTGGGCAAGAGCGCAAAGTTGATGCAAACCGTTATTTGTGTGGCCTGCTCTCGGCTTGCCATGTGCATCGGCATCGCTTTCTGCGATCTTCAGCAGCGTGCCTTGCCCATCTGCGATAGCGTGGGATGCTCGCGCGGGTGCGAGGAAGCCCCGAAGTCACACTCGCAAATTGATTTTCTCCTTTGTAACCAAGACTGGCTGGGGAGAGTGAGCCATGTGCGGCCGTGTTCCGAGGCGCCGCTGGCGTCTCGTCGTTTCGCGTTGTTTGCGCGCCTGGCGGCGGAGGTGGGAAAGCCGCCGACGGCGCCGACATCTGCTGCCGTGGGCATGCAAAAGCTGGGCAGCGATCGGGCTCGACGTCGTTTCGCGCAGACTTGTGCGCGCACCTTCGAACAGTTCGACGAACGCCCAGCGGTCGTTGACGACGTGGGCGTCCAGCGGCGCCGGCTCGTGGATTCCTCCGACCACTCCGCTGCGTCCTGCGCGCCGCAGCTGGATGCGATGCCGCGCAGACCGTGAATGAGCTCAGCAAAATTCATCTTATCTCTCGAAGGACAGGCGCTCGCAGACGCGGGGCGGTCCTGAAGGAACAGAATCTCGCGACATTGATCCGGGAATCAGTCGCTCGGCGCAGATCGGCGCGGTTAGACGCCCTGGCGGCGGACGGCAAATTGACGTAGATACTGAAACTCCTGAAAGGCTTCTGTCCGCAGCAGTGGCGCTTACTTGGCGCGAGCGGGGGGCTGGTCGACGGCGGCCGCCCTGCCGAGACATTGGCCGCCCGCCCGGGGAGCGCCCAGCGGGCCGTGCGATCCGCCATTGTCGCGCTGGCGGAAACGTAGAAGAACCCGCAGTGGACATATCGACGCCGCTGAAGCGCTCGCTGCCGCCGGGGGCCTCCTCGCTGGCAGCGCGGCCGGTCGCGGCAATCTCCCGCCCGAGTTCTGGGGGGCCGTCGCCGGGGCAGGCGAAATCTCGCTGGGTTAGATCGCGAGATTCTATAATGCAATGCGGCCGAACACGAAAATCCAAAAGGCTTGGCATACGGCGCGTTTCAAAATGATTCACAGGAAAGGTGATACTCCCGATGGCGCGAGTAATCTGCCGATTAGTTCGTAGCCGATCGGCAGCGAGGTGTTCGCCGCTATCCTGCTGGGCCGGCTTGAAAAGGCAGGCGCAGAGGTCTTCATATGGAGAGCGCAGCGTAGCCCCAGGTCGGGGCGCGCGACGGCAGATGCCATCTTCCGGGCGCGTTGTATTTTAGAGGGCGCGTGGGCTACCGAGGACGGGGGGGCATTGATGCTTGCGCTGGGTTGGGCGTAGGCGTTCGACTCCCTATCGCCGTAGGCGCTGGCGACGTCCTTGCGCAGATTCGGCTGTCCAGCCCACTTCCTCAATCTAATTGCAGCCATATGTGAAGGGCGCGAATTCATCGTTGCCGGTTCCTGTGCCGACCGACTCTTCCGAGCGCGCGCAGCGTTGCGGCATGTGCCAAGGTTGCCCGCTTTCGCCGCTTCTGTTTGTGATAGTGATGGCGACTCTTCTCGCTGATCCCATCGCAGAAAGGGAAATCGAAACCCGAATCTGCCTGGAGGAGCAGCGCGGGACCTCGTACATGCAGGCGACGCGCTGCTCGTGGACAGTGGCCCCGCAGTCATCGAGGAGCTCGTGCGATGCACCGAGGAGTGCGGAAGGCAGTGAAGATTTCGCGCGCGAGGGTCGATGCGAAAGTCGTGGACCACGAGGACATCTCCATTGACTGCGAGGACGGACCATTTGCTATACCTGGGTACCCGTTGCGCTGCCGACGGTAAATGTGGAGTAGAGCCCAGTCGAAGAAATCGGGCCGCGAGCTTATACTTTCACGTGCTGAGTTCGATGTGGTCACATATTCTTTGAGCCGCAAGCGATATATTTGACGCATGTATCGTCTGGCAACTATTGTACGTTGTTTTGGTTTCTTTTTTTCTTCGCATGCTGTTTCAAAGGCTGAGCTGAAAAAGGCTGGGCGTTTTCCAGGCGACGTGTCTCCGCCGTATCCTCCGGGTACGTCAGTCACGCGTGAGTAGGATTTCGAATTCCACCGTTCCCAGCATGGCAGGCCACGTGGCGTTCAGTAGAAACGTGATAAAACGTCGCATGATTTTCATGGGACAGCTCGCCCGACGTCCAGACTCTGACCCAGTTCGCGGTTCAATCTTCGAACCAGGTAGCCTGTCTTGGTGAACGAATGGTAATGCGTAGTTGTCTGCTGGCAGCCGGCTCTCCCGCAGGGCGGAGCAGCTCACGCGTGGGAGACTGCAGTGCGCTCGTGGCAGATCGGCTGAACCATGCTGGTTTCATCGTGCTCGCGCGCCGGCTGGTGCTGCATGTGCTTCTATATGCTTTTGGACGCTTTCGGGCCCCAGGCGTCTGGGTTTGCACGTATCGTTCCGAACGGCTGCCTGATACCCGAGTTGTGGCCGAACGCCGGCACCCTGGGCCTCCCTTCTGAGTCCTTCGGAGTCTGAACCCGCTCGGCGGCCGTGAGCGGGCCAGCCATCGAGCCCGGCTGCCCTCTCCGCGGCCGCGCGGGTTCAGACGCCAAGTGGGTTCAGCAGGGGGACTTTTGGGGGCAAGCCTCCGGAGGCACCTCCACGATCTTCGGCCTCGGTCGTCGAGCCCGCGTCCAAGAGAGGCGGAGGCTCGATCGCGCGCGCCGGGCTCGAGGACGCCTGGCCCACCGGCTCGAGCTTCAGGGCGGCGCGCGGCCGCGCTGAGGCGCGCGTTGGCCATGGCGCGAGGCCGCGGCCGCGGCGCGTCGCGCGGCGCCCCAGGCCTCCCAAATGGGGCCAGAGTGGACGGCGATCGGAGGATCGCGCCGCGTCGCCGATGCATCGGCCATGCGGCTCGATGTGGAACCTTATTGTCTCCACGCTGACGGCGACGACGCATCGCCGATACATGGGCGATATGACGTTGGCGATGCGGCGCTATCCTCCGACCCCGCCTGGTTGGACCCCGTTCAGGAGGCTGCCAGGTGCGCGTTCCGCCTGGACGCTGCGCGCGGCCGTGCTGCTGCTGGCGCCAGGACGGGCGCGCGGCGAGGACGGCGAGGACGGCCGTCGCCGCCGCCGCCGCGGAACCGCCCGTGGGCCGTCGAGCCGATGGCCGCCGTAGGCCGCGGAAGGCCAACGCCGCCGCCGAGTGCCGCACCCCAGCGTGTGTTACACGTAGGCGCCGGGGAACCTCGTCGAAGTTCTGGGCGATGGGAGCTTCTGGATGCATATAGTCATGTGGCTCCCCCTGGGCCACCCGCCCCTGTGGAAGCCGCCGATTTGTCGTCGCCGCCGCCGCTCCCGCTCGGCACTTCTTCGTAATTTAAGACGCCCTGGCCTGAGAGGACTCGCTCGAGACTTCCTTGTAAACCACGACGTCAACGGCTCCTGCTCGATACTTCCTTTTTATTTTCCCCAAGACGCCCTGGCCAGAGAGGCCTCCGAACTCAGGAACGGCGCTCTTGCTCGAGATGTCTTCGAAAGTCACTCCAGTTGGTGAGGACTCACTTGCGACGACCGATACTTCCTCACGATTTACTTTGAGACGCTGTAGACAATGACGTCATCTCAAGGCAGGTTCCCCTTCAGGAGTCCCCGTCAGAACACTCCTTCAAGCAGGACCCCTCACGCAGGATCCTCATGAGCTCCCCAAAACTCAGGAACGGCGCTCTCGCTCAAGACTTCGCCCAAGTCAATCAGGTTGGTACATGCGCCCCTACAAAGAAACCTGCTTTCGTTCGATACTTCCTTAATCCCAGGACGCCCTTGCCAGAGAGGCGCCCCAATTGCAAGTCACTCAAGTTGGTGCAGGCCTGGCTGCGACGACAACGACAACAGTGCGTCCTCACAACTTATTCCGAGCTGCACTGGCCAGAAAAGGCCCCGAAACCGAGGAACGGCGCTCTCGCCCGATACCTCCTGATGAACTTCCTCGCAACTAATCACGTTGGTGCGTTGCCCGCGGGCGCGTTAACTCGCATCACGACCATGCTGGCGCGGTGCGCACACGGAGTGCACTGCTAAATGTTTCTCCCAGGAGCTGGCATGAGAAGAAGCCCTCCCAACAGGGGTTGGTTCATAGACTTGCGCGGGTGCAGGGGAGATGGAGAAACAAAGCAAGGCCAGCAATGCTTTTGGGAACACATGCTCGTAACCTGGTCATCGTCGTTGCCGATGTCGTCGTCGTCGTCGTCGTCGTCGTCGTCGTCGTTGTCGTTGCCTTCGTCTATGTCTTCGCTTCCGTTGTCGTTTTCGTCGTCGTCGTGATCCTCAGAGGTGCTGGGGACTCGCTCTATGAGCAGGTAGAGTTCGGGGTTTGATGATTTGTCCGGGCCGGATCTGGGTGAGAGAGGAAGGAGTTGGAACAGGAAGAGGGGCCAGGAGGCGGAGGAGGGGGAGAGGGTGGACAAGGGAGGAATGAGGAGAGAGGACGGACAGGTGAGGGAGGAGGGATGAAGGTGAGGGAGGAAGAGGAAGTGGAGGAGGAGGAGGAGGAGGAGGAGGAGGTGGAGCTGGAGCTGGAGGTGGAGGAGGCGGATGAAGAATGAAGGGGGAGGTGGGTGAAGGGTGGAAGGAGAAAGGAACAGGGAGGAGTTGGAGGACCCGCCTTCTTCGCCTCCCTCCTCCTCCTCCTCGTCCCTCCTCCTCCTCATCCTCCTTCTTCTTCCTCGCAGGACAGCGACGGTCGATCCCCGTCATTTAATTGGTGAGCACTCCGGCATTAAGTGGGAATTGCTCTGGTTGCAGAGCGGTGGCCTCTATTGCTAAGGCCTTACGGCCGGTGCCGCCGACCCTGAAGGCGATGACGACGACGAATGCGAGGAGGAGGAGGAGGAAGAGGAGGAGGAGGAGGAGGAGGAGGAGGAGGAGGAGGAGGGGGATTGAGGTGGAAGGGAGCAGGAGCATGCGAAGGAGATGTTCCCCATGTGGGCCGAGGGAGTCGTAGCAGAGACAGGCAGGGAGCCTTGTGCCCTGCGTCCCTTCCCGTCACCGTGCTGGGGTTGTGGTTGAAAGGCCTCTTGGATGTTTTCGGGCCTGTTGGGGCCTCTGTTGGGCCTCTTGGGGGTCTCTTGGGAGCCTCTTCGGGCCCCTTGAGGGACTCTTGGGGCCTTTGGGGGCTCCTTGGGGCGGGAAGCTCGAAATGTCGGTTCGTGGTCCTCTTCTTGGCGCTTTTTGGGGCTTTGGGACGTCCAGGGGCGGATGCGTATCTGACCCCCCCCCCCGGGACCCTCCCGGACGGGAGACGACGGAGACGCAGGGAAAGAGGACAACGGATGCGTCGACTGAGCGCACGCCGACAGAGGGTCCACACGCCGATAGAGGTTTGGCGGATTTTGTAGACTCCCAGCAGCTCCATTCGGCGCGAGCACGCTCGTCGTGCCATGATGCCAGTGGTGTGCTAACTCTCCCAGGCGCTGGACTGTGCCTTGGAAAAGCGCCCGAAAGCGCCTTGTCCCCCCCCCCCCCCGCTGCACCTCCTCATGCTGTTCCTTTTCTCCTCCTCCTCCTCCTCCTCTTTGTTCTCCCTCCTCTTCAGCCTCCTTCTCCTCCTCCTCCTCCTCCTCCTCCTCCTCCTCCTTCGTCCTCCCCCTCGGCCTCCCCTCCGCCGCCGTAGCCGCCTCTTTCTCTTTCTCCGTCGCCTCCACCTGCTCTTCCTCCTCGTCATGATCCTTGCTCATACCATCCCACTCTACATCATCTTACTCTATCTCATCCCCCCCCTCTCCTCGCTGCAGAGTCCTCTGGAGGAGGCGTCCACGGGACTCCGAAGGCCGCCGGAGGCCCAAACAGGACCCAAAGCAGTCAAAAACCTCGATTTTCGTCGCGTCCAAAAAAAACCTCGGTTCTTTCTCCTCGCGTCTCTGGATGCCTCCAGAGGGTCCCAGCAGGTCCCGCCGAGGTCCCCCAGGCGGCCTCCAGGAGACCTAGACAGGAACAAAAGCATCCCCGAATCTGGACCCCTCGACGACGACGACGACGGAGGCGGCGACGGCGGCGGCGACGACGACGACCGAACTTCGCTCCGTGGAGGCCTTCCGAGGTCGCCAGAGAACCTCGATCCTCGGCGCTCCTCGATCCTGGGTCTTCCCCTCCCCTCCTCAGGGGCGCCGTCGGGGGGGACCGGCTCAGGGGAGTGGAGGATCGACCCCCCATCGGCCGTGCCCCGCCGATCGGGACCTGCGTCGGCGAGCCTGCCCAGGAGCGCGCGGCTTCGCTATCCAGGGCCCGTCGCCGATCCATCGGCGGTGTGTCGCCGATTGCAGGCCGTTGGCTCCCCCCTTAAGCCAGTCCCCCGCTGTCGCTCCCCCTCCTCCCCCCCCCCCGTTCCGTGGAGGACGACGGCGCCGATCCGCTCGAGGCTTTCCCCCTGCACAAGGCCGCGATGGAGGACGACGTGCGGGTGCTCGAGTCCCTCCTGGCGAGCATACCCGACAAGGCTGCGCTGGCGTTGGAGGAGCAGGACTTGCGTCTGCGGTCCCTGATTCAGGTCGTCTTCGGGAGGTGCGCGGTATCTTGTGCATTGTCAAACACTTTCGTCGGTTCTTGAGAGCTATCTTGTCAGCAACTGCGCCTCGTCGAGAGCGTTCAGAGGGTGCCCAGGGCTTCCCCGAGGCCCGAGCTATAGCTCGAGGCCCGGCTTCGATCGGGCCTCGTCGGGCTATGCCTGCATCCCTCCGCGAGATGTGCACAGGCTCCTGGGCGACGCCAGCCATACATGTACACCGACACTGACCACGCCATTCTCGACGGAGGATCTATGTACATGCCTTGACGTCTAAGCCAAAAGATCTTCAGATCCTTGGGCCCAGAATGGGCCTGGCCAGGGTCGGCATGCAGATGCGTCGTCCTGCCCAAGTTATTCTGACCCCCATGCCACCTCCCAACAGTTTCGATGTTCAGTGACGCGCGCAGCTCGGCGTGTATGACCCAAAAGAGACCAGTCACCCTCAATTCTGGCGCGAACGCCCCTCCGCTCCAGAGAGTTGAGTTGCAGCAAGCGCGGATCTCGCGGAGGGATGCAGGACAGTGTCGCAGGCGAACTCTCGCCCCAAGTCTCGGAGCTTCCCTCCAAAAGTCCGGTCGTGTAGTGAAGAAGTGGAACTCGGCGGTCCCCCCCGAAGGGGGGCCCGTTTGGACGCACTCCCTACCGAGGACGGCCGCCCTCTCGCTATATGTCCTCAAGCTGGCACTCGAGGTCGGGGATTGCGGTCGCCGTGCGCCGGTCTCAGCTTCTCGCAACGTGGAGCCCCAGAGGTGCCGACCCCGTCCCATGCGAGCTTTCTCCTCCCGAGTTGTGTTCTGGTGGCCCCTTGGAGCAGGCAAGGGCCCCCTCGGGTCGGACATAGCAAACAACAGAAGCACGTGGTGATTTTCATCGCGAGGAGGTCCGCTGTCACGGCGCCTTCGGTTTGACCGAGTGGTAGAGATCACTTCAGAGCGTTCTGGAGCGCCCTCTGCTGGATCGCTCAGCCGAGCGGCCTCGCCGCCTCGACTGCGTCGTCCGTGGCCCGCGCCGGGTCTTGGAAGATCTAGGTCCCTGTCCTGCCCTCATCTCGCCTCGGGCCTCCCCAGACAATCTGCGCCTCGCCGTTTTTGGCTTCTGGAGGTGTGCTTCGAGCCTCGAGACCATCAAAACACTACCCAAGATGAACATCGGAAAGCCGGTCTCGGAGGATGCCCAGAACAGAGGCAACGTTCAAACATCTACATAACCAACGCCCCGCGACGGGAAGGGACACATATACATACTCGATGTCTGGGCACCGCGAGGACGACGAGGGCTTGCGACCGCTGCACTACGCGGCCTACGCTGGCAGTGCTGGCGCGATTGCCGCGCTGGCCGCCGCGGGGGCCTCCGTCGAGTCCAGGACTCGGAGGTCGCTAGAGGCAGGTAGCCCCTGCCCCAGGGGCCCGCAGCTTTTTGCGCCATTTTGGCGCCCCTGGTCCGAGGCCACGATGTATCTATGACCACCGCCTGGGAGATCGATCCCCCGGGCGGTGGTCATAGATCAACCCTCGCCTCGCAATTTGGAGCCCCGGGGGCCTCGGGGCCTCGCCAGGTGTGCCCTGGGGCCCGTCAGGGGTTCCCCCTGGAGAAAGCTGGGGCCACTTCGGGCCAGGGCCACCTCTGGCAGCACCCGAAGGACAGAGGACGGGGGCCTGGCGGCGATTCACTGGGCCGCGGGCCAGGGGCACGCTCGGCGGCACGAAATCGTCGACGTCGTCGTCGTCGTCGTCGTCGTCGTCGTCGTCGTCGTCGGCGTCGTCGTCGTCGGCGTCGGCGTCGGCGTCGGCGTCGGCGTCGGCGTCGGCGTCGGCGTCGTCGTCGTCGGCGTCGGCGTCGGCGTCGGCGTCGGCGTCGGCGTCGGCGTCGGCGTCGGCGTCGGCGTCGGCGTCGGCGTCGGCGTAGGCGTCGGCGTCGGCGTCGTCGTCGTCGTCGTCGTCGTCGTCGTCGTCGTCGTCGTCGTCGTCGTCGAAGAGTAAGCTATGTGGTTTCAGCTATTCGGTGCATGTGGCTAGTTTCGACCCCGCCGCCGGCGCCTCGGGAGAACAAGGTACACGTGCTGTTTCTCTAATACTCCCTTTGCTACCCTCCTTGTAGTCCGACCAGGTGTACCCAGCCCTCCGACGACTCGATGTTTTCGAGTCTCGGGGCCCCAGACCTCTCGACCGTCTGACTCCCTGGGACGGTCCCAGGGGCGAGACCAGCTTGCAGGAACCCAAACATGCGACAAACCCTCCGGGCCGATATTTTCGAGCTTCTGGAGTTCTGGACAGTTGACGCTCCCTGGCAAAAGGCCTCACCCCTCGCCGCTCCATTCCGTAGCGGCTTGCATCCTGCCCGTTGCCCGCCAGCAGAAGGAATCATGAACAGGAATTGGTGAAAGGGATGGGACAGTGCACGAAAGCAGACGTCACTCCTCTGGACGCGCCCTGATGACAGCCTCACTCGAAGGAGGAAGAGAAGTGGGAGGGGGGACTTGTGGCAGCCCTCCTCTGCACGCCGCCGAGGCACGCGGGGGCCCTGCTCTCCGTGCTTTCCGCCAGGGCCGCGCTGGAGGGCGAGGACCTTTCCGGCGTCGCCCGAAGACGGGGCCGGAGCGAGAGTGAGGTGATGACCAGGGGGTGGTGGGCAGGGCCCGGCAAGCTCCGCAGATTTCAGGGCCCCATGTTCTCATGTGAACACCTCCCTTGGCCCGGCCCCCGGGTGTGCCGCGAACGTGCCTCGGGCCATGACCTGCTATCCGCTCTCTTGGACCGCCCTCTCTTTCTTGGACGCCCCCGAAAAGGCGAGGCCGGAGCCAGTAGGGCCGGCTGGAGGATCACGCCGTAGCGCCGGATCGCCAGACTTCTAGAGTTTCGAGAATATCTAGCCTGAGGTCTTCCTGTATTTTCAGTCTCCTGCAGGCATGTTCTGAACCTTAGGGCTGGCAGTAAAAACGACTCTGGGCGAACAGCCGGTCACAGGGAACGCATGCCGAGTAGGCCATGGGGTTCCCACGCACAAAGCTCGAGTCTCTTTTCCCTGTCCGTGCCCTCCTCCGCACTTTCTGCGCCCTTCTTCGCTTTGCTTCTCCCCAGTGTTTCACACATCCTCGGCGGCACGCGTCGACAGACTTGATTCGCGCTGTCGCTGGGGCACCGAGGCTCCAAAATATGGAGGCGTCGGAGGTCTGGATCGGCGATGCGGCGCGATCCGAAGCCCTGTGCTCTCCATCCAGGCGTTCGGGTGTTGCCAGAGGTGACCCTGGCCATGGTTGGCCCCAGCTTTTTCCAGACGGGCTTCCAGAGCACCCCGCACGAGTCAAAGAGGAACAATGGATAAACATACACTGTCGACGCCCTCTGGCCCCGCACCTGGCGCGTTCCGCGCGCCAGGGAGGGGTGTCCAGCGCCGATCCAAGAAATCCGCGCGGAGCTCCGAGGCTCCAACATGGAGGGAGAAGCTGAGGTAGCCTTGGTGCTAGGATCGCTCCTGGCAACCTCCGAGACGCCGCCGAATGTGTCGGAAGTGCGGCGCGATCTTCCAACCTCGGTCGCTCGGGAAGCAGCAGGCAAGAGCGCACGCTGGAGGGGCGAGGGCCGTCGTCGGCGGCGGTCGTCAGGGTCGTCGGCGGCGGCCAGCGGGGGCGATCCCGGGCGGCGGCCCAGGGAAGCGAGGAGGGGGGCTGCCGGCCACTGTTGCTCGGGACTCCCCCCCAAACCTCAAGGGATTGTGGCGCCATCCCCCTCGAGGACGCGGAGGGGCGCACCGCGCTGCACTACGCCGCGGCGCGGGGGCTCCTGGAGGCGGCGGAGACGCTGGTGGGCGCGCGCGCGAGGCTGGAGGCGCGGAGCGAGCGGGCCGTGACGCCCCTGCAGGTGGCCAGCGAGCGCGGCCACGCGGAGCTCGTGAGAGCCCTCTGCGCCGCGGGCGCGGACACCGCCGCGCGGGCGGACGCGGCGCGCATGACGCCGCTGCTCGCCGCGGCGGCGACAGGGCACGCGGAGGTGATCGCCGCGCTGGCGGCGGCGGGCGCGGCGCCCGGGCTGCCGGACGCGGAGGGCAGGTCGGCGCTGCACGTGGCCGCCGCCCACGGGCAGGCGGAGGCGGTTCGCCCCCTGCTGTCCATGGGGCTCGAGGCCCGGGGGGGGGGGGGCCCAACCGGGCCGAGCGAAGGCCCAGGCCAGCGGCCGCTGGCCAGGCCCTCTTGCCTTGGTCGGCCAGCCAGCGTAATCACTCCTTCGAGAGAGGGTCGCCGAGCTGGCCTTCTCCAGGGGGCAGCGCGAGGGCGCAAAGACAGCGCGCGTCTCGCACCGCGAAGCACGGCGCGCGTGCAGCTGGCGTCGTCGTCGTCCTCCTCCTCCTCCTCCTCCTTCTCCGAGACAGGGAGGGAGAATGAGAGAGAGGGAGAGGGAGTCGGACGACGAGATCTATGCATATACATCGACCCTGGCGTGGCCCAGTCCTGGGCCAAGGATTGGTGTGGCAGGCCCTCCTGGCCTGGCCAGGGAGGCGTATGTACCGATCCTTGGCCTAGGACGAGCTTGGCCAGGGACGATGCATACAGGCAAGACGCTGTAGCAGGGACCACTTTGGGCTCAGGTGGGGCTCTGGTTCTCGGGCTGCTCGTTAGATCCAGGGTTGCTTGAGAGTGTACGAGTTTTAACGGCACAACTCGTACAAGCAGAACAGTCGACCAGGCCCTGCTAGGCCACTCGACGACCCGCGGGAAAAACGGACCCTCGGGACCCCCAAAGGAGAGAGGGCGCACACTTTTTGCTGATGACAGCGGCGGCAGTGTGCGCCGTCCTTGGCAGCCTGGAGCGCGGGCCCTGTGGCTCCGCGCCCCGGCCTGTGGCAGCGGGAGCGCCTGCTCCCCCCATTGCACTTGAGAAAGAGGATTCGCCACTCACGCCAGTCTCCGGCGCTTGGCGCGGCCGGCGGCTGCGGCGTGCAATGGTGCCCGGCTGCGCTCGCTGCGGCAGCCAGCGGTGCAGCCGCGGGCCCCTCCGGCCCGGCTGCACTAGAGGTGCCCAGCATTTGGCCGATGGCCACCCAGCCTTCCTCGTTTGGCCGGCGGCGGCCCCCCCCAGGCGGCGGGGGGGGAAGCGGCAGCGGCTGGTCTTGCGCTGGGCGGCACGGTGCGCCGCTGGCGCTGCGCCGCCGGCGCTGCAGTCGCGGGTCCCTCCAGCCCCGGTGCACTAGGCGCCCAGCACTGGCTGATAGACGCCCAGCTCTCCTCAGGTGGCGGCCCCAGCCCCCAGCGGGGGCGCCGGCGCGCCCGCGGCTGGCGCCCTTGGGGGGGCGGGTGTGGCTGTGGGGCTGCCTCTTCGAGTGGGCCCGGCTGCCGGGATGTGTCTTGGGCGGCTTCGGCATCCTCCTCCTCGAAGTGGATGCGCCTTGGTCCGCCCCTCGGGCCCGCCCCGAGGTTTGAGCCTGTCCTCGGCTGGTGCGGCTCGCGCCCAGGCTGTGCGCATTGGCTTTCGTCAACTTGTAGCCGACGTGCAGCGAGGTCGTGTCTCCTGCCATGCTGGCTGCCACGCCCCTCGTGCCTTCGTTCGCCTCCCACGGGTACCTGTGGAACGAGGTGCTGCTCCATCGTCCGAATTCCTCTTAATCAGCTCGACATCCGGGTAGATGTGGTGGATGACCGTGGCGCCTCCGATGCGCAGCGAATGGCGTTCGCATGCGATCTGCCAGGGGGCCTGCCTCTTGCGACCTGCTCGAGCACCTCTTGCAGCCGCTCCCGCTTTACCGGCGCCTCATCCTGTCGGCGGCACAGCGGGAGATGCCTCTCGGTCGCGAGGCGCTCCGGGAAGCACCGCTGCAAGGCCGCCAGCGCCGGGGATAGCGCCTCGCCGGCACGGTAGTGGTTGCGTGCCGCCCCGGCCTCCAATTGATCGGCCTTGCCTCAGGTTCGCCGTGTGACGTCCATCGTGGCGAGCGGCCACGTCGCCTCCCGTAAGCGCCTTGCCGGGGCCCCAAGCCTCCGCCCCGCGCGTGCTCCCCGATTCGCGTCCGGAAGAATCTGGCGATAGCCAGCGCGTGCCAGATCGCCGCGTGATCCGGCACGGCAGCTGGGCGGTTCTTAGCCAGGACCAGCTTCATCATGCGCGCCGTGCCGGGCAGCTTACGCGGGCGGGCGCCATCTCGGCGCGCGAGCCCCCTCAGGGACGGCCAGGCCCGCGGCTTGCCCGCCAGCGTGCCCCCCGCTCCGATCGCCAAGTGCAGGTGTTTGATGCCGGAGAGGCGTTGCTTGACCGTCCTCAGTGCCTTCGTCATGGTCACGCTCAGGAGCGCGATGGACAGCAGCAGCTCCCAGTCATCGTTGCGACGCTCGTCCACCGCTCCCGGATCCGACAGAACTGTGCCTACTGCCTCCAGCCCAGCTCGGAGACGTTGCACGTGCTGTCAGCGACCGCCTCCGACACCATTTGGACGTTCGCGTTCTCAAGATCCGCGAAGTAGTGTTGGCCCCCGATCGGGGCGCTGCCTGCGCGGCGCGGCTGGTGCGCCACGGGCAGTGCGCGCGCGCGCGCCGCGGGCGGTCCGCGCCTGCGCCCGCGTCTCGGAAGAAGCCAACCCTGGGGTCGCCAGGTTCTAGAATCTAGAACCCATGCAAAGACCAGATTAAAACTAGATCTGTATATACATTCTAGATCCGGCCTCATAAAGTAGATCCATCCATGAATATTACACCCGACTATGAAATACATACACTGAATACGAGCGCTCCTGACAATCACCATAAAAAACAGCGCCAGACCTCCCTCCATCCTTCCCTCCCCGCTCCCCCCCCTCCCCAGATTAGCACGAGCATTTCGGATCGGCCATCCATGTGATGTTCCCCTTCTCTCTCTCTCCCTCTCTCTCTCTCTCTGTTTCTCTCTCTCTCTCTCTATCGAAAGCATACCCGTAATTCATATAAAAAACATACGCGTGGGTGATTATCTAAAACTTCCCGCCTCATTATTCCTCCGCCCTCCCCCTCTCTTCTCTCCCTCTCCTCCCTCGCCATCCCTCCCCGCGAGCACCGACACCTGACCCTCCACTACGACGCACCACTACCACATAACACGATTCAGGTTACCGCACAACGCACCACGGCCAAGCGCCACCACCACGCACCACCGCGCAAATCGGCCACGCACCACGGCCACGCACCACCGCCACGACGCGCCTGCGCCACGCACCACGACCACGCACCTCCGCGCAACACCCCGCGCGCCATCGCGCGCGCACCATACTGAACGCACCGCGCGCCACGACCGCGCGCCACGAAAGGCAACCGCGCGCCACGCAACACGAACACGCGCCACGCACGGTCGTAGTCGTTGTAGTCGCAGTCGTCGATGTCGGGGTGGTTGCCGCCTTGCCCGGGGGAGGGGGCGCGGCGGGGTACGAAATAAGCCATGGGCGGGGTGGTATGGGCGGGCAAGGGGGCGGGTGCGCAGGGGCGCTGAGGGGACGGGCGGAAGAGGAAGGAGCGGGGGGAACATTAGCGAAAAGCAGGGGCTAGAAGGGCGGATGGGAACGCACGGACTGATGGGGACAGGGATGGAGGGAAGGAGGGGCAGCAGCGAAATGCAAAGGACGAGCAGTGGGAGGAGGGGAGGGATGATGATATATCGCTCGCTTGCTGCGCCACAGCTGTTCTGGCTTCGAGGATGTGGCCCGACCGCACATTCATTCCAAGGGAGCCTTGGAAGACCCCGATCGGCTGCTCACTCTCGAGGGGCGGGATGGCGTCTGATGCGCCAGTGCAAGTTATCGAGTCGCCCGACTGGCCCCCGCCGACGAGCCCCAGCCCGACGGACACAGCCGTCACAGTGCCAGCTACCCCGCCCCAGTGGCGCGAGTCGCAGGTGCCAGCTTCGCAGCCCCCTCCAGAGGCGATTGAGTCGCAGGTGCCAGCGTCGCAGCCCCCAGAGGCGATTGAGTCGCAGGTGCCAGCTTCGCAGCCCCCTCCGACTCCAGAGGTGATTGAGTCGCAGGTGCCAGCTTCGCAGCCCCCACCAGCGATGGAGTCGCAGGCGCAGCAGCAGTGGGGTCACGACGCCCAGCCGGCTGCGTGGCATGGGACAGGCGCGCCTGCCACCCCAGCGGGGGCAGCCACGCCAGCGACGCCGCATGCGAGTGGCGGGCCTGGCGCACTGGGTAACCTAAATTTGGGGATGATGGGGATGGGGGAAGGGACTGGGAGTGGAGGGGGAAAGGGAGGAGCAGGAGTAAGGGGGTGGCGCGATGATAGCGGGGTGGGAGATTGGACGAGGATGTCGATGAGCGAGCGGAGAAGGAGGACGAAGGGGGGCCGCGGAGGATGAGTAGGAGGAGTGGGTGCCAGGGAGTGGGAGGAGGAAGGATGGGCGAGCGGGGGGAAACTGAGAGGAGACGGAGCGGGAGGATGATAGGGGGAACATGAGTTTTCGGGTGATGCGTTTATCTTCGCACACTAGTGTAACTCATCATTGATCGGCACGTCCCCCCGCCGTCGCCCAGGTGCGCAGCAGTCCCCCGACATGGATCCCGACGCGGAGCTGGATGCGCAGTCCCAGAGAATGCTGTCGGAGTTCGACACCCCCGAGAAGATCTCAACCATGATGAAAGACAAGTTCAAGCCCTTGACAGAAGGACGCCCGATGCCGCCACTGAGTAGAGAGGGATGGGACGGGGGAAGGGCGCGGACGGAGGGGGTGGGAGACTTGTTGATAAGGGAGGCGTGAACTGAATGGGGCGAGGGGAGGGTCGGGGACGGGGGAGGTGCCCCAGAAGATTATTCAGGGCGGCAGCTGTTCTGCATCATGTTTTCTACCGCCTCCCTCGTTCCTCACGCCTCTCTCTTCGCCCCTCACTCGTCCCTCTCTAGCTCTCCTCCTCCCTCCCCATCGCCCTCCTTCCCCTCGCACTCCTCCTGGCCCATCCTTCCCATGCTTCCCCTCCGCCCCCTCCGCGTCTCAACGGCCCCCGACGCCGACGAAACGCTCTCGGCGAGGCGCGGCTGTTGGAGACCGCTTCAAGATGAGGTTACTCCGAATGCCTGGTGGAAACATCCGAAACTTCAACACTCCCGCCACGTCCACAGTCTCGTCGACGTCCATTGCCGTCGTCGTGTGAGTAGCCGTTTTTTGGCTCCAGATTG